TGTGTGTGTGTGTGTGTGTTTGGAGGGGGTCAGGAAGGGCTTCCCAATAGATTGTACCTGGGGTGGGGGTGTCTGTCATTTTTTTAAAAAATTAGTGCTGTTTTAATATTAAAAATACTGATTTTTAATATTGAAAATAAAAGCATTTAATATCTTAAAGGACACCATATCATTTTGTCCTTGGCAGGGGAGGGAGGGGCTTCACACATGCTTACATGGTGGGGCAAGTCTGACTTCCAGACCCCGCCCCAGGGGCACCTGAGAGGGTTGCTTCCCCATTGGTGGTGTTTGGGACTGTGCTGCTGGGGACAGGGACACTGATTGGTAGGGGATTCCCAGACCACTCTCCGGGGCACCTGAGAGGGTTACCCCCCACATTGGTGCTGCTTGGGACTGTGCTGCTGGGGACAGGGACACTGGTCGGTGGCCAGAGCAGGCACTGTCACCTGTGCAGGTTCTTGGCTAGCAGGCAGTGGACGAAAGGCCCCTTCCTCTTCAATGGGGCCAGAGCCACAGGGTTGCCTAGGCTAGGGCCTGGCGGAAAGTGCTCCAGGCGTGGAAACAGCGGGTGAAGGCGTGTTGCTCATTGCCCTTGCGGACCAGACGCAGACGGCGAGGCTGCTCATGTTCTTTGGAGCGCATGTGCTGGATGTATACCTGACAAGGAGGAGGAAAGTGGGCCCCAGGTGGAATCCCCAGACCTGCCAGGCTGGCCTCAGTGTTCCCTCCCCTACTCACCTGGCAAGCCTTCAGACTCAGTTTGATCTCCACCTGGCTTGTCTGGGTCCCCACCCACATGTAGACCTGGGAGACAAGACGGGAGGTGGCCACATGGGTGACCTGGGAACAGTTCCCATTTTCAAATGGGTAGGCTTCTCTGACAGGATTAGTGGGATATTGGGGAGGGTGGTCGGCTCACCTCTTGGCCATTGTCTAGTAACATGATGTCGTCATCTGCCAGGTCATCTTGGCAAAAGTCTGAGCATTTCTCAGTCACTGCGAAGTAGCCCTTCTCATTGGAGCACCTGAAGGCCAAGGGTCAGGGTGAGGCCAAGGGTCACAAACAGCAGTACCAGGACTAAAAGAAGCCCTGGCACTCACCTGAAGAGCCGTGTGTGCTTCATGTATTCGGCATCATCGTCATAGGGTTTCTGTGCCCCCATGCCCACCCAGAAGAAGTTCTCAGGCTCCTCACCTTCATTGATGACCTTGGGGAAAGATCAGTTCAGCCCAGGGCCCTTGCCTGCTCTGGCTCACCTGCCTGCCCAACCCCACCCTCCAGTACCTGTTTGCTGTAAGAGGCATCAAACATGGTGTTCAGGATATCTTCTGCCAGCTTGGCTTCATCAGGGTCTGATGCCCGGCCCACCCAGGCATACACAATGCCTTGGTTGTCCTCACTCTCAAAGGGAACCTGTGCAGTGTACAGGGAGGGGGTTTGGGGTCAGGTCTGGCTCCCATCCACCACCTACCCTGCTCACACCCACAGTCCCACCTTGAGGATGAAGCAGAACTCGGAGTTGAGGAGGCTGGAGTCAGTGTTGATCTGGATGCACCTGGAGAAGGGGGTCAGCAAAGAATAAGTGGGCTTGCCAGACCCCCTGGGCCACCAAACTCAACCCAGTCCCTCCCTGCCAGTCAGGCACCGGGTGCAAAGGGCGCTGCCATTGGTGCGGATTTGGTAGAGGCTCGGCTGCAGGGCACCCTGGGCCACCTTCCTCTTGCCCCTGTGGATGATGAACTTTCTCTTGAAATGGGACAGGAACTTAGGATTCTCCTGCTGCTGCGTCATGCGCACCACCTGGGGGTAAGGAAGTATTGGGCAGCTTGGTGGCCCATACCTGCCCCTGGAGGGTCCCATCACACCCTTTCCCAAGATCTGGGTCCCATCACACCGCTCCAAGTGGGCACGGCCTGGAACTCGCTGGACAGGCGCACCTCCAGCTTGCCAGGAAAGAGGCTCTCGAACTTCTTCTGCAGACTGAAGGTGAAGGTGAGCCACCCCATGTTGGAGGCTTCCCGGCCCTGCCAGAAGTACACAATGCACTGGAAGTCCTCTTCCGGCTGTTTCTCCTCCACCTCAGCTGCTGCTTCCTCCCCTTCTTTGCCTTCCGCACCGGCCTTCCTCTCCTCGTCTTCCTTCTTCTCTTCCTCCTCGTACTCCACGGGTACCCAGTACCTGTTGTTTAGAGGGCAGTGAGCAGGGTGGTGCCCCCAGTCCTGGGGGGAGAGGACAAGAGAGGGAGCCGTCTGTGAGGGCACCTGCAGAGGAAGACGTAGCAGTCCTGCGTGTAGAAATGGCCAAACTCCTCCTCGGGCAGCCGTGCAAACTTCTTGCCCTCCAGCACGAAGCCTTCCATGCCATCCAGGTCCTCGTTCCATTCCTCCATCAGCTGCTCCGCCTGCAGGTCCCGCCCCCAAGGTTCAGCACAGCCTGTGGAAGCTCTGCCCACCCTCCGCGCAAACTACCCTGCCCTCTAGGCCCAGTCCACCTCAGCCAGTGCCATTGGCGGCTGCCGAGGCAGGAAGAGCGCAGTGAGGTCGGCCTTCATCTGATCTTTCTTCTCTGCATCACGCTTCACCTTCCCTGAGAGCCCCGGGCCCTGCAGCACGGCCTCTGCGTTGCGCGTGTAATCCACCGTCAACACGTCGTCCCAATTCTTGAACTTAGCCTTGAACACCTGCAGGGACGCAGTGGAAGGCCATGAACTGGAGAGGGGTCCAATATGGCTATGGTTAGGGTCCAGGAATCAGAATTCAGGCGAGGCTGGAAAAAAAGGTCAGCAATGGGGGGGGGGGGAACGGGGTGGGGGGACACAGACGGGGGACTTGGAGAGGTGGAGCCCAGCAAAAGAAAGTGGGAATGGACAGATGACAAAGGGGTAATTCCACAAAGGCAAGTGGGTGTCGGCCTAGCCCTGCAGAGCAGTAAGGAAGTCAGAGGAGTCAGGGCATGGCACCACTTCCATGAGGGGCAGTCCTCCGGAGGTGGGAGCACACCTGCGCTTCAGTGCCCTCCAGGCTGCGGCTGACTGCAGCGTGGCGTGGCCGGTGCAGCATCCCACACAGCTCCTGGCCCAGCTTGAGCGCAGCTGCACGCACCAGGCGTGGGGACTTGCGGCCCAGCCAGATGAACACGTCGGACCAACAGTCCAAGATGTACACACAGCGCGTGTCCAGCAGGCTCTGCAGCTGTAGAACAGGAGGCTGGAGGTCAATACCCAGACACCATCTGGGAGGGAAGCTGGCCCTGCGCCCTCCTCCTGCCACCTCACCAGCCGCATCCCTGGCATCAGCTCCACCTTGGGCCGCTTCTTATGTTCCACAGAGAGCTTGTAGTTGATCTGTGGCAGCTCTAGGTAGCCCAGGCCCAGGCCCACCTGGCAGGAGGAGATGGGCAAGGCAGATACTGGGTCAGGGAACATGAGCCCCACCTACATCAGCCCTGATTTGGAGTGTGGCTCCTGCCTTGTGTGGCTCAGGTCCATTGCCGTATCTTCTCTGGCCTGTTTCCCCCTTCAACCTCAGGGTCATTTTAAGGATATTCTATCAGCAGAAGACCTTGTTTATTTTTTAGGGTTTTCTGTGGTGCTAGGGATGGAACCCAGGGCCTCCCACAAATACTCTGCCACTGGGACACGTTCCCAGCCAGTGGAAGGGCTTTTAATCAGTACTTTCCTTGCTTACCCTTTCCAGGTCCTTACTGTCATTTCTAATTTTCTAACTTGCTTCTCGCAAGAACCCCCCCTACCCCCCAGTTTTCTGTCACAAAATGAACTCCAGTGTTCTCAGCCCTGGCATGCAAGCGCTCCTGTCTCCCCTCCAGTCCACATTCCAGAACCCAGCCATCTTGCTAATTCTCAGAGCCAACCTCAGGCTACTCCTTGTCCAGAAGGCACCCTTTCTCCACCAAAATCGGTCACACCACTGCAGACCTGGCTCCTCCTCCTCTCCCCCTAGCAGAAATCAGGCCAGCCCTGTACCCCCAACACTGTGCTAGCTCACCTTGTACAGCTTGGGCTGCGGGGGCAAGAAGTCATCGGGCACATGCTTCTTGATCTCAGAGGGCTCCCCGCCCAGAGCCTCCCAGAACTCAAGGGGCTCTTGACCCTGCACAATCAGGGTGATCTCCGCCTTCCCTTTCCGCTCATTCTTATTAATTTTCTCTGCAAAGAGCCTGAAAACCAATGCAAAGCCCTCAGCAAGGCCCATGCCCTTCTTAGGGTACACTTTCCTTTGCACAGAACACCCACAGTACTCTCCTACCTGGCCTTGGTGGTGCTGCTCAGCGTGGCCTGTGCTCCTCGCCACACATATATGTCCAGCCCTCTGTCCAGCAGGAACACAAACCTGGACAGGAAGGTAGAAGGAAGCTAGAGCAAGTGTGATTGTCCCCATACCCTGGCTCACCAAAAAAAAAAATCCATGATAGGGTTTTAGTTCTTCTTTCTTGGGGGGTGGGGGCACTTAGTGATCCTGCTAAGCTCTGTGGGACGGGATAAAAGGGTTGCTAGTGCGCCACCTCCTTTAAGAGGCCTAAACTTGCCCCCCACAGGTCAAGTATGACCCACTGACATAATGGGCTTACCTTGGGTCCAGGGAGGCTCCCTTGAGGGGCACAGGCTCCAACTTAATATTCTTTTTCCCATATACGCGGTACATCCTAGGGACCAGGGGAAGAGTGGCTCACGGTGGGTACCAAGGGGCCAATTTACCCCTAACACCCTCACTTCCAACCCTTCCCAGCAGAGTCCAGGTCAGTGACCCCCACCATGCTCTCACCTGGTGATGTAGTGTGTGTCCTCCACAGTGTAGAAGCCACTGGCTGTTCCACCCTCAATGTAGGAGATGTCGTTGTCAAACACCTGTGTGTGTGAGGATAGGGGTCTTCCTCACTGAGCTATTTCCCTGCCCCACCAGGTAACCCTGTCAGGCTGCGTACAGAGGTGTAAACAGGTGAATTGGGTGCGACAAATCCATGATGATGTTAAAAAAAGAAAAAAAGATCTGTGCCTACAAACATAAATGTGTCAGAATACAGGGCTGTACAAAATTATGAGTGTTCATGTGCACAAAGTGGCAGGCAACTTGTTGAGATGTGCATGTTGGGGTACAGGAGCAAGCAGGTTTATGGAAGTATGTGAACCTGGTGGACTGAGGTAAAATATCCAGCACACCTCGCACGTGTCTGCCAGTCTGAGTGTCTATAGGTAAGCGCAGTGGGGGCCAGTGGGGCAGGGCAGCTTGCCAACCACCTTTGTAGTCTATTGCAGCCTGGACTTGGCCCTCCCTTCAGTACCCAGCCTGTAGCCCTGCCTCCAACACCTATTGGTCCCAGGCCCCATCTCCTGGTCATACCCCCTACATCAACTGCCGGTGTTTAGCTCCCATCTTAGCCTGGCCCCTTACCTTCAACTCCACTGACCTAGGGTCAGAGACCTTTGGGTCTCCCCAGACCTCGCCTTGCCTTCTGCTTTAGGTCTCTCTGGCCATCCCTCACCCTACCACCTTTGGTCTCAGCTCCCTGCCCTGCCCCATTAGCCCAATGCCTGCCTTTGGGCCTGCCCACTGGCCTGCCCCGGCACACAGCTCTTTGTGTCCCCCTTTTGTTCTTCCCTCTCTCCCTGGGCTGCACCTGCAGGAACTCCTCGCTCTCATCTCCCATCTCCTCCCGGATGGTGCGGCACTCAGCCCCCAGGTAGTTGCGCAAGTTGACGGCGTGGATAGCGGAGCAGGCCTTCTTGTCCAGTGTGGCCTCCCCACCGATCCAGTAGTAGATCTCCCAGTTCAGGGAGCCGCTGTCATCCAGAAAGGTCTGGGGTCCAAGGTATCAGCCATGAGAATCTTTCTGGGGTCCCTCCTGATTTCCAGCCCCAGGGCAGGTACACTGCCACCAATGCCTGGACCACCCTTACCTTGCCTGCCCACCTCCCACCTGGCCTCGCTGAACCACACTATAGAGGTAGGGACTCTGAGCCATCTAACAGGGGACTGGTGGCCATGTACCACTATGGGGCCAGCCCTCACCTTGAGCACAATGTAGCAATCAGCCTCATAGAACTTGCCATGGAAGGCTTCTTCTACCAGCACCGGCACAAAGTTCTCGATCTGCCAGATGGTCAAGCCAGGCAGCTGGCCCACATCCTCCGTGAAGAACTCTGAATAGTCAAGGCGTGGCTTCTCCAAGCCCTGGTCCCAGCGCCGCACCTTCCCCCCGGGAGCCCGGGTGTCTATACTCTCCTGAGGAGATAGTTGCAGTGAACAGCGTGACTATGCCAGCACAGGCTAGCCTCTGCTTGGTATCCACCACAGAGCCTTTGTTCCAGTGGTTCTCTCTGCCCAGGGTCCCCTTTTTCTCTTGGCTGGGGTCACACAGTCTGCCTTGAGCAGGGCTTTGGTTGCCTTGCCCTACCCATGGCCTGACTTACCTCCTGTTTTTTGTTCTTTTCTTGGGCCACATCTGACATGCCCTTCAGCACTTGCTTGGCCTGGTCATCCTGGGCTGAGTCCTTGCGTCTGCGTAGTCGCATCTTGCGCGCCAGGGGGTCCTTGGGCCCACTTCCTGCTAAGGGAAGGACAGCAGCTGAGCCTTGCTGGGCTGGCCACATCAGACATCCAGTCTGGCCAATCCATCCTCCATGTCCAGAGAACTGCATCCCACCCAGTTTACAGATGGGTAAGTTGAGACCCTGTTGAGCGGTGCCCTGCTCCCACACCAGACCTTCCTTTACTTACCGGCTGCTGCGGCAGCCACTGTGGCAGGGGAAGCACCTGCCAGCCGTAGCTGGTTCTGCAGCGAGAAGTCGATGTTGTACCACTCGGCGGCGCGGTCAGCAGGCTTGGGTGGCATGACCAGGCTGGGGTTCTCTCGCACATCCAGGACCTGCCCAAGGTGAGCACAGCAGAGCTGCTACTGAGCCTGGCTCCCATTTTCCAGCCATACTGCATTTGGTCTCTTGCTGTGTTTTGCAGCTAGCCCAGGGATGGAGCTCTGACCCCGGATCTCCCTGCAGCTGGCTGGGGGCTTGGGGGACTGCAGTGATGCTGTTGTGCTAGAGATGGATGCATTTCCCCTACTGATACCTGGGCACTGCCCCTGGGAAGGTTTTGCCTGGTTCCCCTCACTGTAGGGCACAGCCCTCTGCCAGTCTTTCCTGAGTCCTCCCCCACCCATAGTGCCAGCCCAACCTCGATCTCTGTCAGGAAGTGGATGGCTTCAGGAAGTGTCACCAGGCGGTTCTTGTTGAGGACGAGTTTCCTCAGCTTTGGGCACCTGTAAGGATAGGGCCAGTTAGGTCCTCAGAGAGGTAATAAGGTGGAAGGGGTGGGGAGAATTCCAATCCTGGGAGAGGGGTGACAGGTAGGGCCAGGGCAACTGGGGTGGTCCTTCTGGGACCTTATCTCCTTCTCAGAGCGGACCACAGGAGTGGGCAGCAACCTCCAGAAGGGCATGGAAGCAATACAAGGCCCAAATTCAAATGGCAATGGAGCCCTTCTGGCCTAGACCCTAAAAACAGCTTCCTAAAAGGTGCTCTGGGGAACCCAAATTGGAAATGGGTGGCATGGGACTGCAGGGTGTCCATCCCTAAAGGTGAATTAGCCCCTCTGCATCTGGCATGATGCACACTGGCTACAGGGTGGGCACTGGCTCTCATGCTGGGATCATCTGTGCCTTGAGTGCCCCTGGCCCCGCCTGCCTGCCCTGCCCTGGCACCTGCAGAGACTTTCAGGAATCAATTCCAGGTTGTTGTTGGCAGCCATGAACTCTTCTAGGCTGGTCAGCTTGCCAATGCCCGAGGGAAGCCCGTCAAAGTCCAGCTTGTTGGAGTTCAGATACAGCTTCTTCAGCTTGGTTAACTTGCAAATAGCCGACTGGAGGGCAGGGGCAGTGGTCAGGGTTGAGCCCATTGCCCTCCCACCCCCACCCTCCTTCCCTTGAGGTCCTAGACGCACAGGCAGTGAGGTGAGCTGGTTTCGGGACAGGTTCAAGGTCTCCACGTGCACCCACTGGTCTATGCACAGGGACAGCTCCGAGATTTGGTTGCTGCTGAGGTTGAGGCGGCGCAGGCTGGGAAGGGTGTACAGGCACTCGGGCACCCGAGTCAGGTCGTTGCACGAAAGGTCCACATCTGGGGTGGGGATGGGGTACATCAGCTAGGGACATAGGGTGGGCACCAGGGGCAACTAACCCAAGCAGGAACAACAACAACAACAAAAGAAACACAAAAAAAAACCCACCAGCAGGCTCTGTGGCTTTAGGCAAATGACAACCTCTCTCAGACTTGTTTTCTCCGTTTGGACAAACTCCCTCATGTCAGGAGGGTCTAGGCATCAAGTCTGGTCTCAGTAACTAACCATCACTGTGATACTGGTAGGAATAATCTTAATATAACTGTGGAGCTGTCTGGAGACACGGAGTAAAGCCCTCTTTGTTCACAAGGGAGTGGGGAGACCAAGGGGTGAGAACTTAAAGGGAGTTACGGGGCTCCAGACCTGCGAGGTTGCTCAGGCTTTCCAGGCTGGTGGGAAGGTTGCTCTGGGTGCGCTGTGTGTTCCGCAGGTGCAGGGTCTGCAGGGCTGTCATGGCTGGGAGTTGCCTGCCAGGGCGACAAGAGCTGTCAGCACCAGGGCAGGCTCATGCAGGGGGTCCCGGGGGGCCTGGAGGGGCAGCCCAAGAGCATGGGGCCCAGTGGGAAAAGGCCCAGCTGCAGGGTGGGGCAGACAGAACACCACCAGTGGGACATGATGCACAGGCCCGTTGAGAGCCTACAGGGCAAGGGCCAGGGCTCCTGGGAAGGTCCTGTGTGGCGTGGGCCAGCGAAGGTGCCCACCGGAGCTGTGCATGCAGCAGAGGGTTCCCACTGAGCAGCAGCGTCTGCAGGTGTGCCAGGCGGCGCATCTGTGGCGGTAGGCTCTCTAGGCGGTTCTCACTGAGGTCCAGGTACAGCAGGTCGGTGAGGCTGATGAATAGCTGGTTGGGGATGGTGTCAATGCTGCAGGGAGGAAGCGGGCTACTGGGTCAGTGTCAAGCTCCACCCCCACCTAGGGTGAGGCTGATGAGCAGCAGGTTGGGACTGGGTCAGGCAGCACCTGTTATGGCTGAGGTTGAGGACCAGCATGTTCTTGGCATTCTCCAGCTCCCGAGGACACTCTGTCAACTGGTTGTGGCTTAAGTCCTGTAGAGCAGGGACGAGGCCAGGTCAGGGTCCCCCCTCCCCCACCTACCCATGCACACTGTCAGGCCTCTGCCATGCATGCTCAGGGATCAGGCAGGACACTGAGTGGGGAGCAGATGAGGGGTTTCAGGGCCAGAGGGAGACAAATGGATCTTGGGAAGAAGGGTGTCTAGTTTAGGGATCTGAGTCCATGAGTGTCCTTGGGCACAGCACTGCCCATCTGTAAAATAGGATAATGGTGTTCCAGGGACTATGGACAGGGACTATAGGGGCCAGCTGGGTGGGTAACTACTGACCAGGACTGAAAGGTCATCCAGCTTGAAGATGTCATCAGGGACTCCAGAGTTCTTTAGACTGTTGGCTCGAGCTACAATGGCCTAGGATAAACCGAAAGAGTCCATGGTTTCTGGTTTACACCCCCAGAGAGAAGCAGAGGTTAGGGTGGGATGCCTCCTCAGAAAGCCTACCAGAGGCTAGGCCTAAGTGCTCTCCACCTCTGGGCTTTACTCACACAGTCCCTCTGCTTTGTGGGCTTTTCCTATCTAGCTGAGCTCCTATACAATCTTAAGTCCCAAATCAGATCCTTAAGTCCCGAATCAGATGTGCCCCAGAGACCAGCATGGCTCTTCTTAATACCAAAAGGCAAAATAGGTGGCTCGAGGTTTTTAAAACAGAAAGAGAAGAGCCAGGTATGGTGGTGGTGGTATACTTCTGTAATCCCAGCTACTTGGGAGGCAGAAGCAGGAAGTCTGTAAGTTTTTTGCTTGTTTATTTTGGCAGTACTGAGGTTTGAACTCAGGGCTTCACTCTTGCTAAGCAGGCGCTTTACCATTTGAGCCACTTCGCCAGCCCTTTTGGTATGTGTGTGTGTTAGGTATTTTCAAGACAGGGTCTTGAGAACTATTTGTCAGGGCCTAGCTTCGAACCTCGATCTTCCTGATCTTTGCCTCCCAAGTAGCTAGGATTATAGGTGTGAGCCACAAGTGCCTGGCAAAGTTATCTAAAACTTACCTAAAAACAAAATATAAACAAGAAGGCATAGCTCAAGTGGTAGAGCACTTGTCTAGCATTTGGAAGGCTCTAGGTTTGATCCCTAGGACCACAGATAAAGAAAAAGAAACAAAGACTAGTGAAGTAGCTCAAGTGGTAGAGTGCCTGCCTAGCAAGCACAAGGCCCTGAGTTCAAACCCCAGTACCACAAAAAAAATAAATAAATAAAAAGGACTATCCTAGGCCTACATAGACCTTGCCTCAAACAAACAACGGAAGCAGAGGGCTGGACCAAATGGAAATCAGAGCCAGGTGCTGGAGTCTCATGCCTATAATCTTAGCTACTCAGGAGGCAGAGTTCAGGATGACTGTGGTTTGAAGCCAGCCTTGGCAAATAGTTCCGTGAGACTCCCCACCCCCCCAATTTCAAAAAAACCCATCACAAAAAGGGCTAGTGGAGTGGCTCAAGGTATAGGCCCTGAGTTCAAAACCCAGTACCACAAAACCAAACAAATGGAAATCAGAGTGGATTGAGAAGAAATCTGCTCTGTCTCCGTTTAGAGCTAAGCTCCTCACCCGACATGTGCAGAAAGTGAGAGAGGATAAGACCAGGGAAGGTGGTGTGACATAGAGAGCCAACAAGAGTAACTTACAGGGGGCTGCCCTGACATTTCTGCAATTCTGATGTCTATGTGGCCACCGTATTTGCAGCTGAGGCCCAGATAGTGGGAGGGACTTGTCTGGCCTTGTAACCAGGAAGTGGTAGAGCTCAGATTTGAACTGAGGGAGCCTGAGTCCATAGGCTGAGTTCTGAACATATCCAGACTCTGCCTTTACAGGATGACCCTAACTGAGGCCTGTGGGGCTAGTCAGGGACCTGACATTCTGGAATGTTAGGCCACCCTCCCAACCCAACCACACCCAACCCCAGCAGTGTGACTTCTGGCAAGTAACCTGCCTCTCTGTGACCATGTGTCCTCACCCATAACACTGGTAGAAGTCAGGAATACATGGAAAATCCATGTGGACTAGTTAGTACAATGCTTGGCCTGCACAAGGCTGTCTAAGATGGGTGGTGGGATTTGGAACATTTTTTACTTTCCCCTATGGAATTTTCTCTGTGGATTCCTTCACACAGGGCATAACTGTTTTCTTGCAACTACAAGGGGGCCCCTCTTGTGACACCCAGCCCGCAGCCCACCAACTCTGGCCAGCACTCACCCGCAGTGAAGGCAGGCTAGACAGCTCCCCATGCAGCGTGGTCAGGTTGTTGTGACTCACAGACAAGTGCTCCTGGGTCAGATGGGGGCAGAGGCTCAGCAGTGTGGGTGGTGTGCTAAGTCCCTATCTCCACATCTCTGCACCATCCAAGAGGGCCCACTGGCACCATTCACCCTGCAGCCTCCCTCCCTGGCACACCTACCCTCCCTTGTACACTCTCCAGAAAGGAGTGCTCACTCCCCTGGCCAGCTTTGCCCATAGCTGTCTCTGTTCTTCCTGTAGGCCCTCTGCCTTCTCGCCAGGTGATGCTCACCTGAACCAGCCCTGTGTGTAGGGACCCTCCCTGCCTGCCCTCTGCCCCTTACCAACTTCTGCAGGGCAGCCAGCTCTTCTGGCAGGTAGCAGAGGCCTGTGCGGTTCAACTTCAGCCATCGAAGGCTGGTCATGGCCTTGACATTCTCAGGGAAGTAGCCACCCTGGGAGGGGGGGCAGTTGGTCATGGTGAGGCAGGTCTGGCAGATGGGTGCTCTACTACCTGCCGTGGCTCCCACTGCTCATGGAAGTCTTGGAGGGGCAACACAGCCAACTCACCAGCTGTGAAACCCTTAACAAATCACTTTGCTACTCTGTACTTCAATTTTGTCAACCATAACATACCCCCATGTGACAAAAACACTGGCCTGAGATGTGTCTCTCCTGCTGGACTGAGCCCCAGGAAGGCGAGGACAGAAATGGTTGTGTCAGGTGACATCCAGTATCCCACTCCACTCACATCCCTTTCCAGGCACTGATTGGGCAGCCTGAGAAGGGAACTCCCTGAGCCTCTGCAAAGACCCTACTGTGCCCCCTTTACCATTAGCATACAAACCTGGCAAGGTCCAATGCCCCTACTACACTAAGGGCCTGCTCCCCACCCTACACAGGCATCACCTCATTCATTCATTCATTCATTCCTATGTTCTAATGCCCTCCTCAGCACACATCCTCCCTCTTGACACCCGTCAGGGCAGTATGTCCCTTCCCCCTACAGCCACATTCCTGCTGGTGACTCAGACTCTTCCTGTCCAGAGAAGACACATGGAGACCCTAGGTAAGGTGGATGAGGTTGCAGGCAAGGAATAGTGACTGCCTGTGCATGGGGTCGAATGTGTGGACACATGCAGGTAAACGGCAGAAGAGACTACCTGCCTCCTCCCTAGCCCCAGACTAACAGCTAAAGGACCCCAGTCAGTAGCAGTCCATCAGTTCAGAGTCCAACCAGCTCTGAGCCCCATCTCCTCCAAGCCGGAGCTCCCCTCCCTTCCCACCCTCTTGGGTGCCCTCCTCATTTTTGACTTTCTAGAACTGCCTCCCTTCCCCATCAACTGGCTTGGGCGGGGGCTGGGCTCGGGTTCCTGATCCCCAAGTCTATCTGTCCAGCAGCTGCTCAGACAAGGCCACCCAGGCTCTCGCACACCTGCCTGACACACTCTACACCCAGAGACCTCGATACATTCCACGCCTCCAAGGGCTATTTTAAGCCCCATTGCAGTATGACAAAAACTCAGGCTCAGAGAGAGGAAGTGACTTGCCCAAGACTACACAGGATTGGGGTGGTGGTGGCGGTGGCGGTGGCGGTGACGGGGACAGGGCAGTGGTGAGTTGGCTCTACATCAGTTCTTGGGCAGCCGGGGCAGCGCGGCCAGCCTGAGTCAGAGCCAGGCTCGGGCGTGTGACATCAGGGGTGGGAGCTGGGGCTCCATGTCCCTGGGTTCCCTCCCACCCGGCGGAGGACCCGGGCTCAGGGTCGGTCTCTAGCGGTCCCCCGGGGTGACACTGAGCCCGAGCCTTGTCTCTCGGTGCGGGCACGGAGCAGAGGCCCGGGGTTCGGTTTCGGGCCGGGAGGCCCGCAGAGGAGCCCCACCCCGCCCCGCCCGAGGTCCCCGCAGCGGCGGGACCGGAAGCGGAAAGTCGCGCGGCCTGGCGCCCGAGAAAGCCTGCGGGGATACGGCCGCCTCCTGCCCGGCTGACCTTGAAGTCGTTGCCGCTGAGGTCCACGCCACGCACGAACGGCAGCACCCCGGTAGACTCCATGGCGGCGCCGCTCTCGCTGCCGGCCGGGCAGGGGTGGGGACGGCCCGGGATCCGCGGGGCTGGGCCAGCGCCGGCCCCGCCCCTTTAACCCGCGCGCGCGCGCGCGCGCGGCCTCGGTGCACCTGAGCCGCTCGCTCCGCGGGGACGCGCCCTCCCCGCCTGGCTTCGGTGGAATGTCCGCCTCTGTGAGTGCGGAAGCCTGCAGGGCGCCCCCTGGGATCGGGCTGAAGACCCCCAGAGTTCTGTAGCAGTGCCGAGGGCCCCGCAGGTCCAGGCACTGTCACTTAGGCTACTGCAGCAGGTGAAGTTGGCCGTGACCCGAAGAGATTCTAGACCTAACTCCGGGGACCCAGTGGGCCCAGGCAGTCTCTGTACACGATGGAAGGTGAAGTGAGACATCTGGGTTCTTGGGGCCTAGCACTCCTGTTTCTGGCCTCAGTTTCCTCGTCTGTAAAATGCTTCCTAAGGTTGTTGCCAGAAGTAAATGAGCAAATGCATTCGTAGCTCGCAGCATACAACAGGCGCTCAAAAAGTGGTAGTTTAGGACTGTGGATATAGCCAAGAGGTAGAGCGCTTGCCTAGCATGTACAAGGCCCTGGGTTCCATCCCTTACCACCATAAAATACCTGGTGGTTTATTATTATTCCCGCTTAGTGTCACTATTCCCTCTTTTCTTTATTGGCTTGCTTCGTACTCGGGAAGAGAAGTGTCACTCTAGGGCCAAACTGTTCACAGCTGTCTCGCCCTTAGCGAACACAGAGTAGGTCTATTCACAACCATCCTTCATAGGGGCAGAGGGTCCAGCATCCTCGTGTTACAGGAGAGAAAACCGAGGTCTGGTGGAGAATGGCCAACACTAGGTCGCACGGAGCAGGTGGCAGGGATTAGTTCTTTTGAAACACTATGTGCCTAGTGGGCCAATAGGTAATAAGGGGGCCACCAGGCACTCACATAGAGGTGACCTAAGTAGTCAGTGTGGGTCTTCAGGCCAGGTGTCGTCTGTCTGCCCGGCCCTCAGAAGGAACGTGGGCCCAGACAGCTTTCTCTACACGGAAGATCCCATTACAAGGGCACACGAGTCATAAGGGCCCTGGACGACTGCCACGCACACTCCCGGGTCGTGGGCTCAGAATACAGCCCTGCTCCTTTAAATCCGAAGAGCATCGTAGAGTCCCGCCCTCGAGGCAGTGCGACGTCGGCGGGGGGGCGTGGCTTTCCTGTCATTGGCTGAGTCATGCCGTATTTTGGAACGTGTGCGCGGGAGTCGAGCGCTCGGATTGGATTAAGGGCCTGCTTGTCTGCGTGCCTCCGGGGTCACTGTTCACCCGCGGGGCATTGGCGTTCGGTTCCTGGGTCTCCCACGTTCCATTCCCCGGTGGGTCCGGGTTCCGGTTCCTCGCGGACCCGCTACGTATCCCGGTCGGTGCGTGGACGCCGAGACGCTGGTACGACTGGAGCGGGGCGGAGCGGGGCGGGGCGGCCCCGGGGTCTCCCAGTCCCGGGAGTGGTGTGCGTTCCAGCACAGGCCGGGGGCGTGGCCCGCGGTGACGGCCGGGGAGAGAGGGTAGAACTTTGGAACCTAAGACCAGAGTTCGAGTTCTAACCCTTTCCTTCGCGTCTTGGTTTCCAGGACTTTGGTGTCCTTCCGTGAACAGGGCTATAACAGGGTCATTTGTGGGCTGCTGCGCGGCCTGCTCAGCCCTGGTCCAGGGCAGGAGGGTTTGGCTCAGGAGGGTAAGGACAGGCGGCATCCAGGGCCAGGCTGCGCAGAGTCGGGTTATTTTTAACCACCCGCGCCCTCCCCGCCTTCTCTGAGTTGGAACGCTGAGGGTTGGGGCCTGAGCGACCCCGTCAGGGGCAGGCCTAAGCCTCACTTTAGGTAGGTGTTGGAATTTAAAGTACTTGGTTTGCAAAGCGGATTCTTAGTCCCGCTAGGGGCTGTGTTAGTTTTGATCCCCTTGACACAGAGGAAGAAGCAGAAACCTGCTCTGAGGCTGTGGTGGGCCACCTGGCTGGCCTATGATTTCACCAGGCCCCCGAGTGGGGTCTTATTTTTAGTTTGGGGTGAGTGGGCAGGTGCCTGGGCTGAGTCACAGAAAGCTTCAGGCTTCAGCTACTCCAGGCATCTTGTCATTTGGCAAGTAGGCCCCAAGCACCCAAGCCCAGCAGGAAGGGCTGAAGTCCTTGGTGCCCCAGTAGGCTGTGAACTCCTGGCTTGGTGAACTGGGCCCTGGGAGATTTCTGTCTCCACTTCCCAGGTGCCTGGCTCCACCCAGTTCCACACTTCAGGGCTGCTCACTCATTCACCCTTCCTTATTGCTGCCTCTGCCATTTTACAGATGATCAAAAAGGACCTGGCTTCAGGCTCTCATGTCACCTTCTCTGTCACCTGGCTTCCCATTAGCTGAGAACCCTTCTCTCCAGCCCCCAACACTGTTCCAAGCCCAAGGGGCCCAGAGAGCCATCCCTCCAGGGACACTGGGCAGCCCTTTATTTGGGGTCTGTGTTTTTAGGATTAACTTGCTCACCACCTGGACAGTGGGCCTTCAGCCACTGACAGGTGGCTCCCAGCCTGGGCAGCATGGGTCATCTTGCTCATCCTGACCTCTGACTTGGTAGCCCTGCCTCTGATAGTTACCCTGTCAAGATTTGGTGGGGGGGTAACTGGCTTCCTGAGCTCCACTGAGGTCCTACTAAAGTTCCAACAGACCCCCCAGGCAGGCTGCTTGGGGCCCAAATCACAGGTTTTCTCTGGGCTTTGGGTTTTTCCTGACAGGTTATTAGAGACCTAGTTAGGAACCTGAGGACCTAGGCAGGTGGCACAGGAACAATTGCTCTGGTGTGTGTGGGTGGAGGGACAGGACAAGAATCTGGAGGCCTTGTAGTCATGGATTCAAGACCTTACCACTCACGGTGTTGCTTGGCACCCTGCATCTCTGTGAAATAGGGGTGGTGATGATAGGCCCCACACACTGGTCTTTGGGATGTCAGAGGATTAGGAAAGGGGATTGGAGAGATAGGCCTCTTTCCTTATCTGCCACAGGTCTAGGGCCTTTCCATACGAGCCCCTTTCCAGGGATGGGTGTTTGCAGGCTTCAGGGGAGGGGTTTGGGAGCTCCCTTATCTCCTTCCACGAAACTCTTTTTTTTTTTTTTTGCAGTACTGGGGTTTGAACTTAGGGCCTACACCCTGAGCCACTCTACCAGCCCTTTTTTATGATGGGTGATTTTCAAGATAGGGTCTCAAGAATGATTTGCCTGAGCTGGCTTTGAACTGCGATCTTCCTGATCTCTGCCTCCTGAGTACTAGGATTATAGGCATGAGCCATGGGCATCCAGCCTTAGAAACCCTTTGAGTGGTCCTTTTCTCATGAGAAATCCTAGAAAGCCCCACTCCTGGGCTCAATCCTCAGTTATTCTAGAGCACTTGCCCATACTGGTCCCCTGCCAGCCTGGATGCCCCTTCCTCTGTGCTCCTGTTTCTCTTACAGGCAGACCATGGCAGAGCACTCCCAGAAGCGGGGGAAGCAACGTGATGGCGAGGGGCTGGGCAGTGCTGTGGACTTCCTCCTGGCCAACGCCCGCCTGGTGTTGGGTGTGGGCGGGGCTGCTATACTGGGCATTGCTACCCTGGCGGTGAAGCGGGTAAGGCTGGGCAGAGTCTGCCTGAGGCTTCCAAAGGAGGATGGGGATGAGACCCAAGAGGGGTGGTGGGACTTTCTGAGGGTAGGCTGGAACCCAGGGCACCTGCTTCTCTACTCCAGCACCCTGCTTTGCTTTACCCCCAAGCTTTGCCACAGCTGCCAGGCTCTGGATGTCTGATCTGTGTCACTCGTCACTCTGCCTGCAGCTCATTGACAGGGCCACCAGTCCTCGGGATGAGGATGATGCCAAGGGGGACAGCTGGAAGGAGCTAAGCCTACTGAAGGTCACACCACCCCGACAGCCCCAGTCCCCTGCTGCCCTCAGCCAGCCCGTATCACCCCTGTCCCCTTTGTCCTCTGCCCCAGGTGAGCAGCATCCCTTCCCTCTCTTATGTGAGTGGGCTCCTATTTCATAGTCACACCTGGGAGACACAGCACAGGTTCTGCTACTGACTTACCGAGCAGCGCTATGAAAGTGTGCTCCTCTCTGATCCTCAAATGTTTGATGGGGATTGTGGGTTTTTTTTTTTTTTGTGGTGCTGGGGTCAAACCCAAGGCCTCACGTGTACTAGCCAAGCACTGTACCACTGAACTATGTCTCTAGCCCTGGGATTGTGTTTTTTGCCTTCCTACTTCCTGCCAGAACAAGGTAGCACTATATGATGGTGACGAGCCTCAGATGGAGAAATTGAGGCCTGAAGGGGGCAAGATCTGTCTTCCCCATTCTGCTTCAAGCTGTTTTAGCTGTAGGGCCAGGGTGTTGGGACTCTAGGCCAGTGAGACTTTGTCATCATGTACTCATTATACTGAGCACTTGAACTCAGGGCTTTGTCAGTGACCATTACAGGTGAGGATGAGGTCCAGATCCCTCACACAGGTGGTAATTAGGTAGAGTGATCTTAACTTGTTATGGGTTGTTCTGACATGTTCCCTGGGTCCCTTTACTCTGCAGAGGAGCCCACGGACACCGATGCTCAGACACCACCTCAGCTCAGCTCCCCACCACCACTCTGCTTGACGTTCCAGGAGAAGCTGTTGGCATTTGAACGTGACCGTGTGGTTATCCCAGCAGCCCATGTTGCTTTGGCCAAGCAACTGGCTGGCGACATTGCCCTGGAGCTACAGTCCTACCTGAGGAACAAGTTTCCAGAACTGCCCTTTGGGGCACTTATGCCTGGTGGGCCGCTCTATGATGGGCTCCAGGCAGGGGCTGCTGAGCACGTGCGCATCCTGGTACCCCTGGTGTTGGAGCCGGGCCTGTGGAGCCTGGTGCCTGGTGTGGACACGGTGGCCAGGGACCCTCGCTGCTGGGCTGTGCGCAGGACTCAGCTTGAGTTCTGCCCCCGTGGGAGCAGCCCCTGGGACCGCTTCCTGGTCGGGGGCTACCTCTCCTCACGGGTCCTGCTAGAGCTGCTCCGCAAGGCCCTGACTGCCTCTGTCAACTGGCCGGCTATTGGCAGCCTGCTGGGGTGCCTGATCCGGCCCAGTGTGGCCTCGGAGTTGCTGCTGGAAGTGCAACACGAGCACATGGAGCTCACTGTGTCTGTGCTTGTGGCAGTCCCTGGGGCCAGTGCCGATGACCATCTCCTGCTCGCCTGGCCTCTGGAGGGACTGGCGGGGAACCTCTGGCTTCAGGACCTGTACCCGGTGGAGGCAGCCCGGTTGCGGGCCCTGGATGAACGGGATGCTGGCACTCGCCGGAGGCTGCTGCTGCTGCTGTGTGTTGTCTGCCATAGCCACCCAGCCCTGGAGAGGCTGGGCCGGGGCCACCTGACCCAGGTGGTTCTGCGCCTGGGGGAGGAAGAAGTGAACTGGGCTGAGGAGGTCCTAGGGGAGCGCTTTCTGCAGGCCCTGGAGTTGCTTGTTGGCAGCTTGGAGCAGGCCAACCTGCCCTGCCACTTCAACCCCAGCGTGAACCTCTTGGGGGGCTTGTGGGAGGAGGAGATCGATGACATTGGGTATGCCCTGTACAGTGGCCTGAAGGCGCCCGAGGGGCTGCTGTAGATGAGTGATAACTGGGTGGCCCACACGTTTTCTCACTCCGGTGAGCTGCTGCTGCCTCCCTCCCAGAGATCTGCAGAGTGGTGTTTTGCTTGCTTTTTGCCAGTACGAAGGAGGGAGGGTACATTACCTAAGCCCACGGTGTAGGCATATGTGTGGGCAATGGTTGCCCAGATCCCTGAGCCTGGTGAGTTTGGGTTGCTGTCACCTGAGTGCTTGGGCTACCCTGTGTGGCTTGCAGTGCCAGCCAGTCACTCAGGTGCCCCCAGCCCTCTGGGGCCAATCTGGAACCTTGTGCTCAGTCCATCATCACCAGCAATGAATCCATCAAGAACATAGCTTCTGCCATCCCAGGCAGGGTGAAGGCCGCTCTATCTTTCTGCCAAGAGAGAAATTTAACACTTTCCTTGGGCATCCTGGAGGCACCTAGATCCTGGTCATTGAATATCACGTATTTGTTCTGCTCTGGGGACTAGAGTCACCCGGCACCCTGGAGGACAGCTTTTTAGTTGTTGAATGTTTCCATGCATTGGTTTTCTGGTTGCATTCTCCTCGAGCTCTGGAGCAGGGGCTTGGTCTCACCTGCTGCCCACTTGATACCTAAGGGAAGGCCCTTTTCCCACCTGCTGGCTGAGTGTTCACTTCAGGTGGCTGAGGCCCCTAGGAGAGCCCCTTCCTAGCTGGGGTGCTGAGCTCTGTTCTACCTACCCAGGGCTGTGCACAGCAGCTGCTCCTGGGCCCCACTGGAAAGCAGTGAATGTGTCTTTCCCAGAGGCCTATGCGCAGACTCAGCTTCTACAGAGTGCCAAACAGACTGCTCTCCAGTAGGTGTCCTGACCTTGTGGCCTGGCTGAGGTAGCAGGGGCTGGAGGAGGGAGACTGCCTGCCTTCCCAGGGGCCCATCCTGTTGTTGGTTCCCTCCTGCTGAAACAAAGCTATGCCTTGAAGAATGTGAACAGGAATAAAAGAGAATTCTTCTGCATGTGTGACTTGCTGGGGAAGGCAGTCTTGGCATCTTCACACAGTTTGGAGTCAGAGTCCTGTGGCTTTGCTTGGCTTGGCAGCTTGGCAAGAGAACTTGAGGTCAACTTGGAGGTGTTAGGATTTATTTTACAAAGGAGTGTCTTAATCTGTTTGGGTTGCTATAACAGAATGCATAGACTGGATGGGTTCTAAATGACAGAAATGTCTCACTTGTGGAGCCTGGGAATCCAAGATTGAGGCACCCACAGATTCCATGCCTGGTGAGGGTTTGTGGATGTCACCTTCCTATGGTGTTGCATTTCCTGCGGAGAGCCCCACACCCTCCAGCTGTGACTACAAGACAGATGGGATGGTGTCACCAGGGAAGGAGACTAGTGTAGCTGAGGCGCCTTCCAGTTGCTTGGTCGGGGACTGACTGGGGCCTGGATGCATGGGAGCATCACACAGTTTTACTGGTGGTGGTAGGTTACAAGGGAGCAGCCGGGTTAGAGCCTGTGGCTCAGTCCTCCCATCTGTGAAATGGGGCATTGTGTAAGGCTTTCATGGCAGCTGTGAGGACTAACAGGTGGGCAGTACTAACCCAGCGCCTGGCACAAGGCAAAGGCCCGGAAAGGGAGATGCCTGGGCCTTGCTGTCTCCTTCTCCACCAGTGTCACCAAGCCCTGGCACAGCAAGGCCTTTTCAACTACCAGGGCCACAAGGCTGTCCTGGGCTCTAAAGAAGGGCTAACCTGAGCAGGTCACTGGCAGCTGTCCAGGAAGTCAGCTCCATTTACTGATTTTTTTTCTGCAGTACTGGGAATGATCCTGGGGTCACACAAACTAGGCATGTGCTCTACTACTGAGCCAACCCGAGTCCTCTTCTCAGACTACAACCTCTGTGAACCTGATGTGGGTTGATGTGAACTTCCCCACTCACAGCCTTGTGCGGGAACAAAAAAACCTGGATGAGTTTAAAGGAAGAGAATTGCTCATGGTCATGTCACTTAGCCAAGGTGAATGTCTGGAACTGAAGTTCTAGCCAGAGGAGCTCTGGAAACAATCAGGCACTTTGCTGAGAGCATACAGGATTGTTGGCCTGGGCTGGCTGGGTCCTGGCTCCCGGCAGGCCAAGCTGCTAACTTTCACTCACTCCCCTTGAAGTCAGGGATGCCTCAGCTCTGCCCACCCAGGGAGCTGGGTGTGTTCCTCCTCATAACTAGAACCTTCAGTGGTGGCAAAACCAAGCACTTTATTTTTTATTTATTTATTTTTTACCCACTGCCCCCTCGACCAAGGCACTTTAGTGCCTTGTTTCGCCTTCACCAAGTGACCCAGAGACAGGAGTTCTGGTGACTGCGGCAAGGCAGGGATCCACCTGCTCAGAAAGCAAGGACCACCAGGGCAGATTGGAAAAGGAAAAAGTGCTGCAAAAATGGAAGACAGATGTATTGATTTACAAAGTGTCACCCGCAGGTCCTCCATCCTACCGTAAGTCGAGAATAGACCTCAGCCAGGGTGTAGCTCTGTGGTAGGGTGTGTGCTTAGTGCGTGCAGGTCCCTGGGTTCCCCAGCACCAAAAATTTTTTACTAAGTAGAAAATGTATTTATTTTTGTAAATCTTTTTTATTTGGTGGTACTGGGGGGTTGAATTTGGAACCTTGAGCTTGCTAGGCAGGTGCTCTACCACTTAAGCCATACTCCTAGTCCGTTTTGCTTTAGGTATTTTTGGGATAGGGTCTCATGTTTTTGTCTGGGCTGGCCTGGACTGTGATTGTCCTATTTATGTCTCCTGCATAATTGGGCACCACATCCAGCTATTGTTTGAGATGGGGACTGGCTAGCTTTTTGTCCAGGCCAGATCTTCAGATCTTCACCTCCTGAATGCAAGAATTGCAAAAATATGCCACTTTGCCCAGCTGTTAAATCCACTTGTTAGCACTTCTTTTCAGAAATAGCTGCAGAAGAGTCAGTTAAGTGGGACCATCCCTCCCCTGGAGCTGACTGCCTGAGTTTGCATCTTTACCATTATTTATTTAGTTTTTTACTTTTTACAGTGCTGGGGATGGAACCCAGGTCCTCGGGCATGCTAGGCAACCTCTACCACTGAGCTGCATCCTTGGCCCTTTGCCATTATTGTAAAAAAGAAAAACAGACCTGAAGAAAGTTGTGCACATGTCTTTCTCATTAGAAGATTTCTGGGAGTAGGAATGCTAACAGTGCTCAGATGGTCAAGGATCTTGCCAAATTGCATTCTAAAGTCAGCAAAGAAGATAGGTCCAAGCGCCTGGGTTGGGGACATGAAAATGCACAGCGTACCTCACACCTGCCACCAGTTTGCTGCCACATTGCTGCATTTTCCACATTGCCTTCCAAGGTTTACTCTGAAATGGAAACGTTAAGTGTCCACACCTACTCCTGCCAGGGGTGCATGGGGCTGACACCCACCATCTGCACTGAGCAAAAGCAGTCATTTGGCCTCAGCCCCAGGAGTCCTCAGGTACTGGCCTTCAGGTTCCTACAGGATCTACCTGGAGCTCAGCTGCATCTTAGCAAGTGCACCAGCCAAAAAGGAAAGCACTGGCTGATACTGAGGCCAGATGGTCCCTGCCCAACCCAGCCTTCAACTGGGGATGTAGCTGGCCTTGAGCTCTCACCTGTCTCAGAGGCTCTAGGTGCAGACACGCAAACCTATAGGAGATCCAGGGAAAGCATGGCCAGAAGGGGACAATGGGGTAGCCAGAGGGGCATGGCCTATGAGTGAGCTGCCCCACCCACCCCTCTGTCCTGTGTACCATAATCCTCTTGATCTCTGTCTCCTGAGTAGCTAGGATTACAGGTGTGAGCCACTGCACCTGGCATCAGAAAAATATATTTTATTATTTTTTTGTGGGATTGGGGTTTGAATTTAGGGCTTCATACTTGCAAAACAGGCACTCTACCGCTTGAGCCACACTTCTAGCTCATTTTGCTCTGGTTATTTTGGAGATGGAGTCTTGTGAACTATTTGCCTAGGCTGTCCTCAAACCATGATCCTCCTGATCTCATCCTCCCAAGTAGTTAGGCTTGCACCAGAACCTGGCCACAAAAATATATTTTGAAAACAACCTTAATTCACTGAGGCAGCTAAGGTTGCAGCTGATGAGGACAATACCGAGGACTTTGGTGAGCTGCTGTGGACCCTCTGACCTGCTTAGCAAACTCCCGAGATGATAAGATCCTGGTTAGTTCACAGGCTGGGCCTTGGCATGTAGAAGGCTGGATGCACAGGCTCACCAGCTTGCATGGACTTCAGAAGGAACTCTCCATGTTCAGACTCAGGCAGACCTGAGCACCGCCTCCCGGCATGGAAGCTGCTGTCTGAGGTAGGAATGGGCACGGATCTGCCCCTTGGAGGGATGGCTGACAGTGCAAGCAGCAAAGCCTGGCTTTGTGAGCAACAGTTGGGCATGGGGCTCGTTTTAATCCCAGCTGCTCCATTGCCAGTGGTACTGGGGCTAGTGGGGTGGCCACTAGCTCTTGTGTGAGCAGCCTTGTCTTCCTGATGTCTGTGGGAAGGTCACAGATGGGGAGATGTGCGCAGCAAGCCAGCCAGGCTCCCTCTTCTCCAGGAGATGGCAGGGGGCCCTGGCGGCCATGTGGGCTGTCAGCCGTGGCACGGGGAGTGGAGAGGGGCCCTGAGAAGTGAGGTAGAGGTTGAATTTAGACTAGGTTTCAAGGCCAGATGAGCTGCTTGGTAGGGGAAAGCACTTGACCCATCAGAGCTTGGGTTTCCTCCACAAAAGGGACAGTAGACACCGTCTAGCCAGAAGCCCAGGGGCTGAGTCCCTGTGTGTGAACGCCCAGAGTGCCCCACCTCTGTCAGGTCCAGACAGGTGAGTTGTTTCTTTTCCTTTTCTTGCTTTGTACAGAGTATAGGAAATTGGAAATAAGGCTCAGCACATGGATTAAGAGCCTTTCCCAAAAAATAAAAATAAAGAATCTTTCCAGTCAACTTGGGGGGAAAGGGAGAGGGAGGAGAGTTCCTTGTTACACTGAGCACCGCTAACTCAGTGTGTCAAGAGAGTAGGAAATGCCCTAGAAGGCTTTATTGCGGTGTTTTCATTTCACTGGGCCCGACTGACCCTTCACCAAAGAGCCTCATAGCAAACAAGATCACTCCATTACAGATGAGGCAACTGAGCCTCCAAGGGTACAGAGCAGTTCAAGGGAGCCTGGATCTGTCCAATTTCAAATGCCCAGCCCAATCCTTGGTGCAGTGCAAACCAGCAGTTCATGGTCTTGGTACACACAGGAGTTAGTCACCTGAGAAAATATTTACAAACCACAAAAGCATCTGGGATCAACAGTCTATGAACTTGCCTGGCACTGGTGGCTTACGCCTGTAATCCTTGCTACTTGGGAGACAGATATCAGGAGGGCTGCCGTTCAAAGCCAGCCTGGGCAAATAGTTCTAGAGACCCTATCTTGAAAATATCCAACACAAAAAGCAAGGAGTGGCTCAAGTGGTAGAGTGCCTGCCTAGCAGGCCCTGAGTTCAAACCCCAGTTATCATTAAAAGAAAAAAAAAAAC